ATATATATATATATATAAAATAAAAACTTTCATTCATTGACTATAATTAGGCCTGTTGCGATAAGCAATAAATCAATTAATCGCATTGTAAATTAAAATGTGGTTAATAATTTTCATTTGCCTGCTGTTTGTTTTCTTCGTGTCTCCAAACAAGATTATTATTGATCACGATCATTTCTGAAACAATTTATCATCTAGCAAGATTTTCTATACTGACAAGMATCACTGTAATACTGTATATACAACTCATTGTAGCCATGCACCTATTGTATTTCCCATTTTAGAACATTTTATACTCATTTCTCTTCACAGTCATTAAATAAGAAGCATAACATTTTCGTCTTCGGGCTCCTAGTGTTTAGGTTTTCAAACAGGTTTGTGAACGTTTCAGTACCTGAGGCTGAGAAAGCATGTCGAGACTCCACGAACACATCCTGCCGTCTGTAGAAACGCTGATCAGGTTGTTGGCGTTCTGGGTGCCCACCACGTTCACGCAGTACACAGGGTGCTACGCAGGACCACACACAGACAGGAAAACAAYAGCATGAAGACCTGCTGCCCAATGCCAAGATGTGACCACGTTTTTAATGCATCACTAATGTGCCATAACTACAATATTCTTACTCATTTTTAATAAAAAAAAATATTGTTATTCTGCTTCGAACTGACCACATTATCACTTTGACGTTATAATCATATAGTTTCATTTTGAAAATGGTGATGACGTGAGATACTTTGAAACCGTAAAAAAAAGGAAAAAGCAGTGGGCTCACATGCCAATGTGCAGTGGTCCCTTTAAAGCCTCCTGAGGTGGGGCCATGTGCTGCTGTTCAAATCCACAAGTGTGTGAAGCCATTATATCATTACTAGGCAGTAATTGATTTGTCTGCTGGGCCTCACAAAGAGTCCATTCAGCAATCAGCACCATGCTAGCAAGCTGCACTCTCTAACTGGAGAGGACGAGCGCGAGCGGTGGTCACATTATTCAGGTCTACAGACAGTTTGAAACCTACAGTATGAAAGTAGCAACSTGAGCGTCTGCAAGGCTTCTGGTTTTAGGATGTAGCTGGTGTACATTCAGTARTTCTTTTATTCAGGAAGGTTTGGATTGTGACGGCTCCGTCTGAGTGGATGTATGTGAGCGCTGTGACAGCCTCGAAAAAAACAACAACTCTTCTTTTACTTTATTCAGTTGGATATGGTGGCTTTTCAGTTCCTACATTATTTATTAGGTTTCCACTTCTTCAAAATGTTTAACACTTGTTTTAGTGGTGTTCTTATTTAACCAGAGYTGGCTCTAAGCAGAATTTGATTTGAGGGGCCCGCTTTCACCCACCACCCATCACAGCACTGCTAATGTTTACTTTATATCAATAATGTTTGATCTTTTGTGAATTTTAAAGCTTGCCTCAACTAATTTCTTGATTCGCCAGAGAAACGTATTAAAATAAACCAGCCCAAGATGAATGAAATCGACTGTTCAATAGAATGTGTGTGGCTTGTATCCACATCAGTCACTTTGTATTATTTGAAATATGAAAAACCACATGGGATAAAGTTTTAGTATGTTTAGAAAGGGTAAAGGAGTTGACAAAAAAGAACTGAGTGGAGGTGTTCTCATTCATGTGATTGTTTTTAATATGAACAAATGGAGAATAAATGATTCCCTGACTAACATGATTTATCTGAAACTTGTATCCTATAAAGTGCACTTCARCACAGCCAACAACAGAAATGGGGTAGAGGGTCATGTTGGGCRTTGAGGTTACCAGCAATCATGGAAAAATTGTGAGCTACTTGTATTAGTTGAGTGATCTGCTTGTTATGTTTTCATCACTTTCGTCCAATCTAACTGTGTTGATTTCTCACACATTTTTTTTTTATCTGAATGAAAGCAGAGTCGTTGCACTGGGTTATAACTGTGCCATACAAATGGGGAACTTGTCTTACGGTGTGTGCAGCAGCAGACAGGGGAGTCCTCTGGACAGGGGTCCGACGGTGGCTGCGGTTGTCCCACAAGACGATCTGTCCTGAGTAAGTCCCACCGACCACCAGGTTGGGATGAAACTTGGCAAAACCAACAGAAACCACTGGAGACTAAGGAGAGTGGAGGACAACAGAGGGTATTAGAAGTCATAAAGCATTTGYGCWTTGTAAGGCCTGGCTCGGCCCGCCCCGACCCCCCGTCGTCCTGCCCTTATTCTACTCCAGCCCTGGTTGTGTTTGCATTGAGAGCCTCCTCGATGTGAGTGGGATCATAATATTAAATGAGCAGAGTCAATGTCAATATCAATTTTATTTATAAAGTGCTTTTAAAAATAGCTAAAAGCTGCACCAAAGTGCTGTACAGCAATCCACACATATCCCAAAACCACAATAATTGCTAAAAAYACATAATAAACCGCAACCAACAATAGTAAGAACTGATAAATTACAATGCTAGGCCTTACTTTAATTAAATGCCATTGAATAAAAGTGAGTCTTAAAAAGCACTTTGTTTTCCAAACTATTAGCAGATGTAAAATGAAAGGGTAGGAACCTTATTTTGTTTTATTTGCAATGCACCAATAATGGACTACACCCATCTTGAAGGAAAAGTACCGAAGGCGGTACCAGAACATCCAGCAGTACGATGCTGAAGACAAGGTCAGGACAACAGAGAACGATAAGCTAATGGAAGCTAACATTAGCTTGTTGTCGTTTGGTAGCTTGCTACCGTTGTTCAGTTAAACTTGTGTGGAAATAATGTTACAGTCATTGGAAACAATTCATGTAAAGTCAATCGTTTCTGTGTAACATAACACCTCCGCCCGGTCAATGAACCAATCGATGAGCAGTACCAGGCAGGTCTGCCTGGACAGAACTGCGGGTGAACTTTCGGGTTCCCAAAGCCTGTGACATCAAATTTTCACTATAAATACGAAAGCATTTTTGGAAGGATAACTATGATGACATATTGCAAAGAAAATTCACACTGCTGAGATAAACAATCGATGAATTATTAGCATGTGAAGTGACAGGAAATGATGTCACGAGAGTAATGTCCTCGTGTGAACAGAGCAGTGCTAGAGAAGAATCTGATGTTCTTTAGACCATTTTGAGTCACTTTCAAGGAGAAATGAAGAGTCAGTGTTCAAATAATATTCTTTCAATAAATAAACACCAGGGAGTTCCCTTTTCCTAAATAATACCCTCATGATGTCACTT